CTCTGTCTCTGTCTCTGTCTGTGTCTGTGTCTGTGTCTGTCTGTCTGCCTGCCTGCCTGGCTGTCTGTCTGTCTGTCTCTCTGTCTCTCTGTCTCTCTGTCTCTCTGTCTCTCTCTCACTCTCTCTTTGTGAACTCAGCACTAGCGAAACTTTAACCAAATAATTCAGAATGTGTCCATATGTTTTTTAATCTGTTGATCCTCTGCTTCTACGATTGTCTGACAGAATGTAATGTGGATTCGACCCCAAGCTGCAAGCAGGCCGGCAAACTTTTTACCGTGCACCCCAACACCAGCCCAAGCATTGCGCACATAGGGTCTCAGTCTGTGACTTCTCAGCTTGTTTGATAAGCTCCCTCAGGTTGAGGAGCCTTGCCGATTGATTCAAATGAGTTCCAAAAGAGAAGCAGTTCCCGCCTCCTCCGAGGATTACAAGAAATTCACTGTCTTCCAGCATGACTGATGCCAAATTGTGCCACATGAAAATTTCTGGTTCACCATCTCTCATGGCACTGCAACTGACCGCAAAAGACTTTCCAAAGGCACAAATAGAAGCCGATCCCAATGTCGCATCGATTCCCCCAACGACGATAAAATGGCCAAAGTATTCGTGCAGGTTGTGGCCATAGCGTGGGCGTGGCAAGGGTGATAGGGCTCGCCGCCACGCAAGTCTGAACCGGTTCTGAATCCCATCAAAAACCGCATGCAACGTCCACGCATCACCCAGAATGTGCTCATCAGCATCCAGGCCACCACAAACTAAAACACCTCCAGAGCCAAGTGCTGCAGCATGGGAATGCCGTGCCACAGGAAAGCCGCCATCAGGTGCAGGTTCCACAAAGAACTGCTGCCAAGTCAGGGAATCCGTATCAAGAAACCATGCTTCTTCCAAGCTTAGCACTTCCAAAGCTTCTCCGATTCCACCTAAAACCAGCAAGCCGGGGCCTCCCAAATGAATTTTGGTCGCCGTGTGCCGCCAACGTGCCATGGGCCATGGATAAGCTTCGTGAACTTGCCGGATTGAGGGAGGACCAGAAGATGGACACGTGCAAATTCCTAAGGCAGCACTAGGCCGTTGAGGTGCCAGTCGGCCTCCAAAAACGAAGACTTGATCGTTGACTGTGGTACATGTGCAGTACATGGCAGCCGCGTGTTCACCTATTTGTTTAGAAGCGCAGCTTCTGAATGGATATGCCTCAAGCTTCATGGCCATGATCGAGACCTGACGACCATGAGGTGCATCAGAAGTTGTAGCATTGAAGGTACCCTGCCCACCAGAGATAACGATGTGCCCCGAACAAAACGATGCTGCAAGACCAAACCTTGGAATGGCAAGACTTACAGCTTCAACAGGCATTAGCATTGGGTTGACTGCACACGAGTTCGTCTGGACTGCGACCTGCCATTGTCGCCTTGCCCTGGTACAAGTTCCCGAGATGGCAGCAAGACAAAAATAGTGTACGCACTTCAGGTGGAACTCCTCAAATTCATCAAATGCTTCCAATTGGAAGGCACGTTTGAGTTCATCTACCGGAGCTGCCGCGAGGATTGACATCATATCAGCAGCATCTACGCGATCAAATGCACGAAATCGTATCTTCTGACACTCCAAGTCAGGATTCGCAAGCAAGGCCCTCAATGGACATTGCCGTTGAGAAAAATGTTTGCGCATGAATCGGCCAAAGGAATCATGGGGGCCTATTTGCTCATATACACCGAATAAACAATTTCGAAAGGCCTTGGCCACCCAGGCAATCAACTCGTCTCCCTCACTGTTTTCCATGTAAGCAAGGACCACTTCGGCAATCAGAAGTGTTGGCACCATGAAATCAACACCTGCACATCGTAAGGATGCTTCCACTTCCGACGTATCTCGCAGGTCCGCGCCACAGCTGTGCAGCCAATCAGGCCTTAGGACTTGTGCTTGTTTTAATAAAGCTTCTTTTCGCTGCAACACTGCTGGAAAGTCCACTTCAAAATAGCCTCGAAGGCCATGGGGCCAACCCCTGCGAAGGGCACCCGTGTCAAAGCCCGCCCCCAGTACGACCACATTGTATGCATCACCAGGTGAGATACAGCTCCGGAGAAAGGTCTCCTGCATCTGGAAGACTCCAAGGTGCCGAACATAGTAACATCTGTGCACTAAAGGCGACCTGCGAATCAAGCGCCCCTTGGGTCCACGAATGGCAACATGCCCGACGAAGGGATCCTCAAAATAGCCTGCTGCTGCCGTGCTGGCCTTACTCACGATTGAGCTATCATTCGTAGCCTGCACAGTGGCATCAGCACCCGAGTACTCCGCCATCAGTCTTAGTGTGTAAAGAAGCGTGTCGCAAAGTACCTGTGTGGCAATCCAATGTTGTTCATCATCTTCAGGCTGCAGGGTATGTGTGTGTGCGTGTGTTGGGGGGAGGGAGGTGCAAAGCTGACAATTGTCGGTCTGATGCAAAAGTCCCAGTAGTAAAAAGCTTCGTTGTCATGAAATCACCCGGAGCAGTGAAAAATCTTATGTGGGTGAGGCTTGATCATCTTGATCCAAACACACCAGGGTCTAGTTGGAGGCATCAGGATCTGGCAAGCAGCCTACTTGCTTGGGGTCTCTGCACTCATTGCATTCTAGGATTCGTCTGGCAAGTGTGCCATACGAACTTTGCAAAAAAGAACAGAAACGCCTCGAGGATTGCATAATGCGCATCACAAGATCCTGCGTAAAGCTTGCACGTGAAACTGATTCGCAGCATGGTTCTGAAACATTGTTGTATGACAAAGCACTCCGTCGGACAGCATGTCGCCTGTAGGAAGTCGCTCTGCTGCATCGTTCGCAAGCTTTCAGGGTCAAGCACACCTCAACGGGCCAAAGCAGCACTGCCAAGTCATGTTTTCGCTTGTTTCCAGGGTCGACCCCTCTTAAGAGTAGTGACCTCGACACGACATCCAAATCGGTCTGGGCGTTAAAGGCCTCCCCTGGGCACAAACAAAGCTGCACAAAAACCACGCGCTTTATTCTTGAGTTGCACGAGGGTTGCGTGCCTCAATGCCACTCGAATCATGGCCACTCAAGAGCTTGTAAGCGTCCACAATGTTCTGATAGTCCTGGCTGTCTGAATGTGCCAGGAGCTGGACCGCCAAGAATCACGATGATGTCGGACTTGCGCAGGCAGTGGGAAAGGAGTCCTTCTCTTTGCTAGCTTGCCTCGGCATCGAAATCTTACAGTAGGGCCTCTATTTTTAAAAATCAACAGGCACTCCAGTCAACTTCTCAAGGAGCCCCACATCTCTTCAAGCTCAAGACCTCAAACTGAAACGCAACTGCCCTGGAGAGGTGTATGTATGAATCTCCCGATTCCTCTCAGGGTAACGCATCGGTGCCGTGCTGCTTTCAACTCTTCCTTCAAAGCCTGCACAGCCAGATCCAGTTAGCTAGCCAAACCAGTGACTCACTTTTGCGTCTTTTATATAGATATATACATGGGCCCCATGGTGGCAAAATGACTCCCTTGGCAGTCTTCATTGTTCCACCTCATGTTCTTCACGAGGCACAAGGTTGGTGCTCTTCAACTCAGTCAGTAGGCAGTAGGTGCACAGCACTCCTTGCTAACAACAGGAGGCGGAGGCATACAGTCGTGTACGAAAGAGGACCGTTACGCAGGTCCGCCGGGCGAAGCATCCAAACAGAAGGCAGCGTGCCAACAAGCATCAATGGGAGAAGATTGAGAAAATAGAGAAGGGGATGATTCATGTTTTCATTGTTGCATCCCACACAAAGACCTAGGCCAAGAAACAAATGAAGCTACACAGATGAGAGGCAGGACATGAGCAAAGAACAAACCCAAATGTTCAGTTTCCTGTTCAGCACTTGCTGAGCTTGCGGCCCTTTCTGCATTCAGCTGCGCCTTGCATGTCAACAGCTGAAAGAGCTGGAAGCCACCAACTCATGTTTAGCTCCTCCACCATTTTGTTCCTCTGGTCTTGCTCTTTTACCTGATGTTGCCTCCAGATGCCGAAGCAATCCACGTCTTTTCCAATTCTGGGAGGGGTGAAAGGCTTACAGGTCGGAGTGACAAAATTACTGTAAGGGGTGTGCTTCTCGAAATGCAATCAGTCAGGCATGGAACCAAGCCCCAAACAGCTTGGCAATCTCGCCATAGCACTCCCGCTCTTGCTTGCGCAAAGCCTCCACCTGACTGTGCCACATGCCTTCACATTCTACCCAAAACACTTGGTGGCAAGTGGTAAGAGTGAAGACCAGGACCGGAACACCGAAATCGTTACGTGTAGCATTGGCATTGGCCTCCCCCGCATGGTCAATTGGCCTGCTTCTCTGAACGCTCCAAGTTGCTCAAAATGTCCAAATTCCTGAGTGCAGCAGCATCTAGTCTCAATGATTCAAGCGCTCCAAGCATTCGCACACAAAGTCAGAAAATGGATGTGATGGACCTTTCGACATACTATTGTCCAAGTTGCTGCTTGTGAGACTCTTCTGAAAGGTAGCGGTCCTGGAATTGACAGCTTGACCATAAGCTTCAACAAAGAATGGTATAGAGTCAAAGTCCAGCGACAGTTGATCACTACGGTCCCTGTCAGAGCGCTGCTTCATATCACTGAAGTTATTCTGCATGGTGGCCTACCGAACAGCACGGCAAAGCTCAACCTCAAGTTTTCCTAGACTTAATATGCTCCTTGCTATGCTGTATGGAATGCTTGACTTACTGGAGTGTTTAATAGAAATTTGCTGGCATCAAATGCCGGCTACTTGCTCTGATCGCCGACGCATTATCCCTATCTTTCTGGCCCTACCAAAGCAGTCTCATCAAAAGGCCTCTCTTTCTCATCAGAATGATTTTTGTTCATTTCCTTGAAGATTCTATATAGCTCTTTGCTGTTGCTTCTACGCTCGTGGTTCAGCCTCCCCACGCCAGGGAGCAAATCCCAGCACATGCCTTCTCCTGAGCGAGCTGGTCCCGCGTTCTTTCACTTTCCTCCAAGCTCTTGCCTTGGGTGATGCATGCCTACAAAAAAGTACAGCTACCCAGCTACTCATTAGCAAGTCGTGACATTTGTCCAGCCAAGCTCAGGACGGAGGGTGCGGACCTGGCATAAATGTGGGAGGCAAGGATCAAAAGGAAGTCGTAACGCTGAAGAACTAAACAACCCAGTGACAAGCCCACATGTGTAGCCCTTCCACAAGGCTACATGTACCATCGCATACCTCCCTATTTGTGCAGTATTGGCAGGTGACTGCGAGTGCCAAGTGATTTGATGCGTGAGATGATTTTGGGATGACTGCAATTGAGACGTTCGCAACGCACGAGTACTTCCCCAATCGTCGCCACTTACACAAGCCACTCTACTTATTCTATGCGACGGCCCTACGGTAAAATCTTTCTATGGCAGCAGTGGTGACAGCATACGGCCTCTTCTGAGTGGTGGGAATGAACCACTAGTCACTAGACCACTGGGGAAAACGTACACTTCACCATCAGTTCACCAAATGTGACAACGTATCTCTGTACCGCTGAGGAAAAACAGAATGGTAAAGACACAGCATTCCGCAAGCACAAATGCGTCACTAGCCCGCCAGGCATCACCTGACCAGCTGTCAAAGAACTGTACCTGTGCTGGCTGTGCCAAGACCTGCACCCCTTCCACGCCCAAACACCTGAAGCCTGTGGAGCATGCCGCAACACCGGCTGGAGGTACGTGATCTGACCACTCTCCAAAACGCATTGACTTGGTGAATTGCTGCGTGATGAAATTGTGCGCGAGGTGTGAGGAGTTGGTGTAACTTGTTGCCTTCGCCAGCGACGTGTTGGTGCAAGAGGTGTGATGGCACAATGAAGGATGAGTATGGATTTGGGTTGAGGTTGGGGTAAGAAGTGAGAACAAGGCGAGGAACAGACAAACTGGCACGAAAAAAGCAGGCATGGCTCGATTGAGGGCGTCGCACAAATTTGCGCCTGCGACATTGCCGAGCCCCAGTGAGGGTTATTGTGTTTGAGATTAGTGTGCAGTACACCGGCATAGACCCGCTATGTAGCGGGTCTATAGGTTTGTCATCCCTCGCATGACATGACGTCTTTCTGGGCATGGCATCCCTGGACCAGCACCAGTACCAGCACCGCAGCAGCACCCGCAAAACGAAACGTCGATCCAGGTCCAGCGTCAGCGCCAGCACGGCAACAGCACCCGCAAAACGAAAGCACCAGCACCAGCACGGCTGATAGAAAACTGCATGTTCGGAAAAGTTTTTTTGGTTTTGGTGCTTGTCCTTGCAGTGGCAGCAGTGTCCCAACCTGTGTTTTCCTCACTTCGTAGCATCCGCGTCTCCCATAAAAACGTGTTTTCACCAAAAAAACACTTACCCCCCATGACGCCCTCGAGGGACCATACCAACGACAACAACCAAACATGAGTGCAATATGCTCAAGTGCAATTCCCAATAGAATCATAGAACCTGGAATGTACATGATTGGCTTTGTTCCTCCAACAGTGTGGAAGGTTCCGGCATGGTTCTGTAGGGCATAAAGGTTCCTGCGGCTCAGGCATCAGGGTGGTGTCAGACTTCCTGGATTCTGGCATGCGCAGGCTTTCCATTCTCTATGGCAACGGATTTTCTAATTGTTTGCTGAGTTGCCCTGTCGGTTCAGGCTGGCCCGTTCACAGGGAGTCCCAGGGGCTATAGAGGCTTAGACCCCAAAGCCTGGCGACAAACAAACAAAAAAACAAACAAACAAACAAACAAACAAACACAAACAGGCGGGCAGGCAGACAGACAGACAGAACTTTTGCCACCTGTCCTTCTTACAGAACCACCCATGAACAAACACAAAAGCATCCAAGAAGGAATGGCACACAGTTCTCGGCAAAGCTGCCAGCGCCTCTTCTTGAAACCGTAGGGTCGACTCGCCAACGAACGCGATGCTCTCCATCTGCCCATCAGAGCATGCACTACACAACCGAATCAAAAGCAAGAGAAGAAGAAGAAGAAGAAGAAGAAGAAGGAAACAAAAAAAGAAAACGTGAGAAGCAAAGCTCATCCGGTGTCAGTTTGGGGGCAGCCACTCCAAGCGCCTTCTTTCCTGCTTCAATCTGCATGCTGCACAAGTCACAGCACGCTACACCAGCTGTGCAACTGCCGTCAATAGCTGTAGCTGCGGCACAAGCAAACCATGAATTCCCGCATCATCCCCTGAGCTGTGAAGAAAGCAGTGCAATTGATGCTACAGGCCCAGGCATTGCCTCTCCACATGTATTGTGCTTCGCACAACGGCAGATTCAATTTAAACAAAGCGGACCATGTGAGGCCTTGAATCGAAGGATGAGTCAAATAAGGGCATCAACTTTGTCAGCACTGCGTCTTGATTGGCTGGATCCGAAATGGTCAAAACGATCTCCTCCACAAGGTTGCTATAGTGCGCAAAATTGGCAAACAACCCGATACTTAGCTCAGAGCATATGTTGATCACTTGGATCTTGATGGCCCGCCCGCGTGTGATTCCAAAAAAGGCATTGTCCGCGGTCACGGCATCGATGGTACCGATGGCAAGAACCTTCAAGTACATGCTTCCAGCGGCAATCTGCAAAGTTTCAAAGTGTTCAAAGGACGCTTGAACCGTGGAGGCATTGGGAGATTGAAAGACGGGAAAGAGTTCCTTGGGTACACCAGGTTTGATGACAGTGCCACCTGGAAATAGTTGTGCCACATACTCTGGCTGATTGGAGGAGAAACTGTTCAAGACCGCCACCACTTCGGAAGAACCTGCGGCTACTGCCTGTGCAACTCCAGTGCCGTCAGTAAAGCCACCATCGAGCAGAGCGTGGAAAGCGATCTGAGCGAGCTGCGAGATAGCTTGTGAATCTACATGCGACTGAAGCTCTTCTCGAATGTGCTCTGCAGCTTCGAAGCCTGTCTCACCGACCCACACCGCCACGTCTGCCGAGAGCTGAGCGGAGATCTCAGATAGAAGGACGCTATCAATCGCAGAGCCAAAAAAGGCAGAAGAGGCAGCGACAGTTCGGGCAATAGGGAGTTGGCCACTTGTGTTCATTAGGCTGCCGTTGGTCGCATCGACAAACATGGGAGAAGATGACTTGGAGCTGGAGCCCCCCAACCAAACGCCCTCAAAGTTGAACCTTAGCATCCAGCTAGCTCTGAGGAACGGCAAAACCAAGTTGGCATTGCTGTGTTTTTGCCAAAGCCACCTTTGTCTGGGTGAGACAAGTGGCCCACCCTACCTTGTTGAATTGTAAGGTGCAAAACGTAGGACCATAAAATGAGGCATACAAAGCAGATAATATTCCAAGGAAACAGAACTGTCATCAATCACAAGCTTCAATCAAAGAGTGATTGCACAAAGAGTAACGCAAAAAAGGAACATAGTCACACATGAAAGAAGACTCTGGCGAAACCGCGCTCAGTTGTTCAATGCTCAAAATAAGCTCTTGCTTTTGTCACAAGCGTTTCTCGCGGTCGTCGGTTAGAAAGGTTGAGCTTGGAGGCCCCTGTCAGTTTGTTGAACTAAACACCGCACCCCGCGCATGTTTGTTGTCGTCCAATTACGAGGGCGTCCAACTCTACGAGCATCAGGCACCTTGGGTTCTTCACGGGAATCAGCACACAAGAATACATAAGCCACCGTTCGAAGAAGCGACACGCGAGATTCTAGAAATGTTTGTCCTACATAATTGCGCGCATATCTTGGATTGCGTCAGTGCAGATTGCGTGCACAGGGCATCAATAGCCTCAATATGCCTCAATCTGCGAAAGTAAAGTAGTGCGGCAGTTGTGGCATTGTGAAGTGCAGTCCAGCCGCTTGATTGGGACCTCTGGCAATGCCATGTATGAAACGGGTGCAACGCTGTGGAGGCCTGAGGCATGTGGGCTTGGCTGCTTGAACAGCTGGAGGGCTTACAGAGTTTCGAGGTCGGGACTTGATCAAGCACAGAAAAGACTGATGAAAATCAGAGTTGTTTTGATGTGAGACTGAAATTTGTCGAAGCTGGCGTGAAACAGAAGTGTTTGGCTTCCTAGCAAATCATTTCCGCTGGACAGCTGGGCACATTGGTCCCACAGATTCCGTTGAAACGCAACCAAAGCAGCATCAAACACACTTCATCATTGTTCGCGGCCTGCACCTAGCTTGATGCTGAATGCTGCAGGCAAATATATCGGCAGGTCTGTACCAGTCTCAGCCTTGTAGCGTACATGCGGGAGGAGTAGTTTGCCTTGGCCACTCAGCACAGGTAAACACTAGATTCTAGATATCAAACCCAGGAAGTGTGCACCATATCAACCTAAAAGGATAAAGCAGCAAGCATCTAAAGCCTCAATGAACAGCCGGCAAACATGGCAAACATGAAAATCTATGTAGATGCACAACACGTGCGCAAGCTGAGCAACCTTCTGAGATGCAAGCCCCTCCAGATGGCAAAAGAAGTGTGTGGTCCACAAGCCAAACTTGATGAGTGGGAAAGGCGGGCAAAGAACCCATCCTGATTGCATGGATGGGTGTGCTTGGGTCACTGCAATCTGCTTTCAGCGGTCTTTCTTGCCTTTGGTAGATCATTCCTACCACTTCAGTATCAGCTTGCCTTGTTGACCCTTCCCCAGCAACACCAAAAGAATGAATATGCTTCGCCTACGCAGGTCATCTCAACGTCAAACTTACAGACTGACAGAGCGTCTTCGCATCGCTGGAGATTCCTGCAGTTGAGTTCAGGAGCACATCCACGAAGTGGTTCCAAGATAAGCCAGTGGCAAGGAAGAACTGTGCCAAAAATATCGTGTCTTCATCACCAGTGCCTAACCAAAACTTCACCCAAAGCCGAACAAGAGTTTGCCAGCTGTCAAACCTTGGATATGGTCAACACGCAGTTGAAGCTGTAAGCGTTGTTTTAGCTAGTCAGCCAGTGGAACGTGCCAAATCAGAAGCAAGCTCAACAAACACAAAGTTGCCATTCATCTTTGGTACTCTGGCTCCGTCACACCAGTTGCTCGCAACCAAGGCCCAATCCAGCCCTTTTCAAATTTCTGGGCAGATTTCGAAGGTGAGGATGCTATACCTTCAAAGTGTCAACTCGGAAGGTGCAGTGTGCAAGTTGTGACAACGATGATGGTTTGTTCTGGCTCTTTCGTGCTTGCTTCCCTCTTCGCCGCACAAAGGTTTTTGATCGATTCACTGCACCCAGGAAGCTGACGTCTTCTTTCTTAGGAAAAACTCAGCGAAGTGGGGAGGCCGTTGCAAATACTCAGCGAGTGGGCTGCTAGCGCTGTGGCACGGGGTGGTGTTATATATATACAGTGTATGTATATGTGTGTGTGTCGCTCGATTTCTAAGGACATGCAGTCATGCAGTGGCAACATCATCTAAACACTGCAAATCCTACTTCAAGTAGTTTGATCATCTTTGAACGCCATCCACATTACAGTTCATTCCTCTATCCTGCCTGCTAGCAAATCAAGAAAGCTGCTGGAGAAGAACAACTCTGCTGCAAACCACGAGGAACCACTGACGCTGGACACCATATGGAACTGCTTCAGCACTGCAGTCAGGTCCCAGCTGTTTAAATCTGCTTGAACATCTGAAGATTGCCCGAGTTGCCGAAGGTGTTGGAGGTGCTTTATCCTGGCAACACCTGCCACGAGCCCTGCATCTGAGGCAAGCGCCCGGATGCCGCCACCCTGCAATGCCAAAGCCGGAGTTCCCACAACCGGGTCAAGTGGCAGTAGCACCAGCAGCAGTGCTCCCAATGAAACCGTTGACGCACCAACCGACATAGACTTAATTTTGTGCAATCATCCAAAAAGGCACGGGACTCGTTGTGAAAAAACAAAATGCACTTGGAGTTCGCAATCGTGCTATGCCCTTCTTGATCTTGCTGTTTGCTGCTCTGTGGGAAGTTGTGGCAACTCTTGGAATAGGTACTTCACATGCATGTGTTGCATCAAGCCGGTGATACACGCATCCCTGCATGCCACCAACATGCTGTCCCCACCTATAGAAAAAATGGTGCCTTTCGAGGAGGAAAAGAACCAACCTTACCGCTTGACCTCTTATTGAACAGCGCACTGTCTGTTCGGTCTGAAAAGCACTGAATTCTGTTTGTCGACTGGCTACTGACTATATGCCGACTATGGTTGCGGCCTGCACGGTGGTCATTTTATGCCTTCCGCTTCGCATACCACGTTGAGCAGTGGTGATGACGGAATTGAACTGCTCGCTTTCGCTGAGGAGCACTTCTCCCTTTCTTTGGTTTTCTGACTTCTCACCCACATCTACATGTCCATACTTGACTTGCCAATTGTAGGCACAAAAGTGCCAGTTATATTGACATGTACAAATGGCAATGCGAGCAAAAAATAGTCTGAGGTCTGATAGTGGCCGTAGGATCACGCAAGTTCAGACAAGCAGCTATGCTGCCACATCCACTTTTGGGATGCCCAAGGTTTGTCTTCGGCCATTTGCGGAAGAATTGCCAACCTGCTACATCAAAGCTTATGTAGATTGAATGATTGGATCCCTTCCAGATTCCAGACACGCTTCGCACGCATTCAGTCCACAAATGTAGCCGGGCACCATAAACTCTCCAGCCACAACAGTGCAACTTCGTGGCATCTTGATGCTTGTTGCATGTCTGGAGAGACTGGTGGCATCTTGCTGTGTCCATCTTGCTGTGTCCACATCGGCTTAAACAGCGCCCCTTCCTGGAAACCGGAAACCTATATATATATATCTATCTGACTTAGCTGCAAGCTGTGCTCAGAAATCACGACTTGACGCCGGGATGATTCTGAGCCTTTGCGGCACGAATTTGTACCTGAATTCTGCGGAAAAAGAACGGGTTTGCGTGCTGAATGCTGAGCGGCGCTTTCGGAAATGCGCAGCATTTCAGCGGTACAGGCCACTTAAACCCTCCTCTATGCCGCCCAATCTGGCATTCAAGGGCTTCATTGATCGCACAAGCACTTCTCACGAAACAATCCGACACGTTGACTAAAACATGCTTTGCATTCGATACTTTGTCTTACAATGTTTAAAAGACCTTGTTGGCCGATTGTGTACCTCAGTCGCCTCTTGCATCAGCAAGGCTCCAAAGCTCAGGCACAGCGGCAAGGGGCGCATCCCCAGAAGGAGCCTCAGGCAGGATGTTAATGAAAAAGTGTCGCTTACGTTACCAAGGGAGTGCCACACGCACATATGATATATGTTTCTTCCATTGACGTGTCACCTGGTGCAGCGGTGACAATTGCATCATCCTCCAGGATTGGGCTCGTCTCACCCAAACCACTGCCTCCAACGCAGAAAACGTGCAACGTGCCGTTGGCTTGTGACACAAAAATATATATTATATATATATTTACTTATTTATTTAGTACATGCATACATAATCTAATAATCACTACATGCGTGCATATGCTGCATAATACATAAAACAAGGAGAGACATGTCAGAGAAAATCAAATAAAGAATCAACATTTGCAGCCTCAGCTAGTTTAAAAAATGAGGATCAGCTGCCCTCAATACATATCTGAACGCTTCTGGACGCAGGCTGCTGCTTTCATGTCAGTTCCAAAGTTGCATTTCAGAGTTACCTCAGCTAGATTCGGCCCTTTGGCCCTCCTCCAGGCGAGCTCTCTCTCTGCGACTCAGCTCCACGCAAAGCCTCACAGAGACACAGTCCTACCGTCCTACCGAAAAGTGCATTTGACAGTACCTCCCCAGGCTGGTTGCATGTCTGTGTGCAAGAGTGCCCATGAATCCGTGAGACAGCAAGGGCACCACATGAACATGCAATATATTTATATGAATGTGCGGCTTCACGTCCCCTTCCCTGCTTCCCATTCGCTCAG